CAGGAAGGGGCTTGGAACACTCTGGAACAACCACAGGAGGGATGGGACAGGGAGGAGCTTGGAACATTCAGGAACAACCACAGCATGGATGGGAGAGCTTGGAACACCCAGGAACAACCACAGGGAGGAGCTGGGAACACCCAGGAACAACCACAGGAGCAACAGGAAAGTCCTGAGCTGTCCCCGGAGTCCTGGGCTGCCCCCAGAGTCACCCTGAGGAGGCAGCAGGACCTGGAAGGCTCCTGGGAGGAGATTGGATCTGCCAGATCCGATAGGGGAATGTCCCGGCCCAGCCCACGGGACAGACTAAACTGTTGTGGTTGTCCCAGACGTGATGCTTCAGAAATGTGAAAACAAAGAGGGTTTATCAGACAGTTCCTAAACATTCCCCCCCCCCCATGGAGGTTGAGGCTCCACAGCTGCTGCTGCCCCAGGAATGCTCTGGGAGCACCAAAGCTCAGCCTTCCTGGGCAGTTTTGCTGCTTAAAGCCCAACAGAAGCCACGGCTGCTTCCAGACACTGCTCCATGTGCTGGTCCTTCCTTAACAGGTGGGGGCTTCCCAAACTCTGCCCGAGGCAAAGAGAGGGATGGGAATGGCCCCTCAGCCCTGGAGAGTGAACAGCAGCAATAAATGAGGACACACAGCCATGGGGGCAGATCTCTGCAAGAGCTGGGTCATCCAGGACATTTCTGGACCACATGGACTGTGTGGGATCATGGAATCGTGGAACGGGCCGGGTGGGAAGGGACCTTAAAGCTCATCCTGTCCCACGGGCAGGGGCACCTTCCATGGCCCAGGTGGCTCCAGGCCCATCTAACCCGGCCTTGGACACTTCCAGGGGTGGGGCAGCCACAGCTTCTCTGGGAATTCCATCCCAGCCCCTCCCCACCCTCTCGGGGAGGGATTTCTCCCCAATATCTTCCCTAAACCTTCTGTTTTCTGGTTTAAAGTCACCTGTGCAGCAAGGGAAGGGACTCCCTTCTTCCCAGCCAGCTCTGGAACGAGGCTGCAGCCCCAAAAATCCCCAAATTGTGTGGAAAAACCAGATAGAAAAAACTGTTTGAGGCTCCTCACGTTTCTTTGACACCCAGGGCCGTGCTGGGAGCAAGACCTGACAAGCCTCAGGTGTGGATTCCAGCGGGAAGAATCCATTCCCAAAGCCGCAGCTTCCTGGTCCGTGAGGAGCCAAACAGGAGCAGCAGGTAAATGTAAGGATTTTTCACCCCCCAGCCTCGGATTTTACCCCTGGGAATCAACAGGGTTTTGCTCCAGCAGGAGAGGACCCAGCCCATGGCAGGGGGTGGAACCAGACAAGCTTCAAAAAGTTCCCTTCCCACCCAAACCATTCCATGGTTGACTCGTCCATAAAAAAAAAAAAGGCAGGAAAAACACAGCCCGAGGGATGAGAACCCGCTGATCCCACCCCACAGATGTCCACAGATGTTCCTGCTCCTTCCCTAACCCAGAGCCTGGAAATCTCAAGTCAGGCCTGGCTTTGGTCCCACAGGGATGGGCAAACCCGGCCCGGAGCCTCCGGAGGTGCTGAAAAATGACACGGATTTTCCTTCCCCTGGAGAGTTGTGCACATGAATCACCAGCTCTGCCTGGCCCCGAACATCCACTCGGGAAGCTGAGCCAGGGGAGGGTCAGGCTGGATATTTGGGAGAGATTTTTCATCCAGAGGGTGGTCGGGCACTGGGAACAGGCTTCCCAGAGATCGGTCACGGCTCCAAGGCCACCAGAGCTCCAGGAGTGTTGGGACAACAGGGACAGGGTGGGATTTTGGGGTGTCCTGAGCAGGGCCAGGACTTGGACTCTATGACCCTTGTGGGTTCCTTCCAACTCAGGATATTCCATGATTTTAGAGCTCAGGGAGCGTTTGGATAACACCCTCCTGCACAGGGTGGGATTTTGGGGTGTCCCGGGCAGGGATTGGACTCCATGACCCTTGTGGGTCCCTCCAGCTCAGGACATTCCACGATCCTCCTCGTTTCGGAGAAGGCAGCAGGAACACAACTGTCTCCAAACAGGGAGGAACCCCCGAGTGCCTGAGTCAGCCCCGCGTTAATCACCCCGAAACCCAAACCCCGCTCGGGGCCCTCCCGTCCCCGAGCTCTGCAGGCAGAGGAGACTCCAGGGCTGCGTTTTCCGGGACGCTCCGGCCGGAGCCCTCGGCGTAGCAACAGGGATCGTTCCGGGCTTATCTGCGGCACCGCACCCACCTGGGTTGTGCAAACAAGGAGCAGAGCCAAGAAAACCCCATTGTACCTGCAGCTGAACTTTTGATCCCGCTGCCTCCTCCGACACCCCCCGAGGGGAGAGCTGGACACCCGGGATGGGCCACTCAAAAAGCTGCTGAGCGGGGAAATATCGCCTTTCATAAACACTGGGGGGGGGAGAAGGAAAACGGGGAGGGAGGAGTCAGGCTGTCCCGGGGGGGGGGTTTTGGGGGGGCTGGGCCTGTGTAGCAAGTCCTTCTTCCCTCTTTTCCTCAGCTCGTGGGATGTTTGTGGACCCAGAGCCGAGCGGGAGTCGCGCGGTCCCGATGGAATGGGAGGGATGGAAGGAGCCTGTGGTGGCCTGGCAGGTAACCGGGAACGTTCTGGCTGGAATGTGGGGAGCTGGGGGAAGGACGAGGAAGGGAGGAAAGCCCTGGGAGAGGAGGAACGCTGTGAATCACGGCAGGTTGATGAGCACCTTCCCAGGGTGTTCCCGGGCAGGTTCGGGATCAAGGCCGGGCCATTCACATGCAGAACAGCTTCCTCTCAATGTGCAACAGCCCCAAATCGCTGAAGTTCAGGAAGTCACAGAATCATGAATGGTTTGGGTGGGAGGGGACATTTTAAGGTCATCTCGTTCCACCCCCTGCCAGGGGCAGGGACACCTTTCACTATCCCAGGTTGCTCCAACCTGGCCTTGGACACTTCCAGGGATGGGGCAGCCCCAGCTTCTCTGGGAATTCCATCCCAGCTCCTCCCCATTCTCACAAGGAATCCACCTAAATCTTTCCTCTTTTAGTTCAAATCCCTTCCCCCCTTGTCCTGTCACTCCCTGCCCGGGTGAATCTCACAAACCCCCTTCAATCCCCGGCATCACACACAAATCTGGAGCGCCCACGCTGATTCCAACACCCAAACCCGCTTCTCTGGGCAGGACTTGGAGCGCGAGGAAAACTCGGAGAACCCCAAATCCCTCCGGAACTCGCCGAGGGCTCGGAGTCCGCCCCGCTCGGGGTGTTGCAGAGCAGGGAGCGACAGGTTAACAACGCCCGTGAGCGGCTCCGGGAGCTCCGCTGCCACCCTGCAATTACCGCCCGACCTTGGGGCTCGGCACAAGGACGGCCGGGGCCAGAAATCCCCATTGCCCGGGAGGGGGATGAGAAAAGAGCCCGAGGAGCAGCAGAGCCGAGCCGGGGCTGGGGCCATGATGCACAAAGGAGCTGGATGAGTCTATTGTTCGGTGTCCGAGCAACCCCCCGGGCTCCGCTCCGCTCTGCCCGGCGCGAGGTCCGGGCTCTCCGGCTTTGTTTACTCGGTAAAACGAGCGGCTGGCTCCGAGCTGCGCCCGCTCACGGCCCCTTCGCCTTGAGCAATCGGCAAACACCGCCCGGCTCCCCCCGCCATCCAAGCGCGGCTCTTCCAGGGGGGCAGGAGCCGGCTCGGAAGGAGGGCAGGACACGTCCTGTCTCTTCTGGGGTTTCTCGCCCTCCCACAGCTCGAGTTCGCGGCGAGTTCAGGAGTCCTCCGCGCCGCGGTAAAGGTGTGATTCCTTTTTAATTCCTGGGTAATTCCAGTTCCTCCCGGGGAAGCGCTTAACTCCAGGATCTGGGAAGGCATCCGCCACTTGTTGCCAGCTCCGCAGCCGCGCATGGAGCGGGGATGAATGGCTTGGAATTCGGCTCCCACTTAATAACCACAATCAGCGCCGATCGAGGCGGAACAATGGATCCGTAAAGGCTCCCGGGGCTCACATCCAACCTGTTTTACCCACGGCTTTCGAGCCAACCGCTCCAACCGCCGCTCCATTTTTTAAGCCTGGAAGAGCATTTTTACTCCCGAGAGGAAAATCTTACCTGGGAACTCAACGCCGCCTCCAAACCCGGCGCTCAGCATCGACCTCGGCGCCCCGGGGAGCCAGGGTGGCGATCCTGCGAGGGGATCCCCATCTCCTGGAGGGCAGAGCCGCTTCCCAAGCCGGGGAGCGCCTCACAGGAAAGTTTGAGCCGCGGAGTCCATCGCGGGGAGAAGCTCTCGGGGAGGCGACTTGTGCGGCTGCGGAGGAGCCGCGGCCTCCTCGGACCCTCCCCTGGGCGGGTCCTGCGGGCCCCGGGAGCCGAAATCCGAGCCCTCGGCGCCTCCTCGGAGCCCCAAAAGCGCTTCCCGAGAGCCTCCGGCCGCGGCTGGATCGAGGTGGCTCCGCGGCGGCCGCATCGCCCCGCAGGACCGGTCCCGGGGCGGGAGCGGCGCCAGGACCCGCCCGGCAACTGGTCCCAGTGCCGCCGCCGCACTGGGGAGCCCCGGCCGGGGAGCTGCCCGAGGATCCCGGAGGGAGGGACCGGAGCACCCGGGCACCGACAGCACCCGCAGCTCGGGGGGCACGTGGGGTCGGGATCCAGCCCCCCACATCCCGGGTGGATCTTTGGATCAGGATCCAGCCCCCATATCCCAACTGGACCATCAGTCAGGATCCAGCCCCCTCGCCCCCCCCATTTCCAGTGGGCCATTAAGTCAGGATCCAAGCCCCCCACATTCCAACTGGAGCATGGGGTCAGAATCCAGACCCCTTGCTTCTGAGTGGACCAGAGGATCAGATCCAGCCCCACATTCCAGCTGGACCGTCAGGTCAGGATCCTCCTCCTCCTCCCTTGTCTGCTTCCCTGGGAACGATGTTATCATCAGGAACAGCCCTGACCTGCTGCCAGGGACACCGGGAGAGCAGGACCTGCCCTGGGAGACGGGGACAGCCCGGGACAAAGGGATGGACCCTGGGACAAGGATCCACAGGGACAGGGATCCACAGGGAGGAGGCTACAGAGAGCCTGGGACAAAGGGATGGAGACAGGGATCCCCAGGGACAGGGACATACACAAGGAGAGGTATCCACAGGAAGGAGGTCACGGAGAGCCCAGGACAAAGGGATGGAGACAGGGATCCACAACAAGCCCCCTGGGATGGAGCACTGGATGCTGAACAGGGACAGGACTGCGGAGCCCCGACAGCCACCAGTCCAGCCCCTCTTCTCCCCCCAGTCCCCTCCATCCCTCCAGGAGTTTTCCTGTTCCTCCCCCATTCCAAAGGGTCTCCCGGGGTGTCCTGGCGTAGTCCCCCCCAAGCCGGGTCATGGAGTAACCTGATCCCAACCCGGCCACGTCCTGGTGCCCAGCAGAGCCTCGGCAGGGAAACACTTCCAAGGAAAACATCTGTCCCCTCCCCTTTCTTCCACTTCTCCTTTCCAAGGGGGGTTTTAATTGTTTGAGTGGATTTTGTGTTCCCAAACAAGCCCTAAAGGCAACATTTTCCTTTAACCCTCTCGGCTGCCACTGCTTCCCCCCCCCATGACCATCCGAAGGGTTGGTTTTTTGGCTGCTTTTTGGAATCCCAGGAATGTTTAGGAACCTCCTGGAAAGAGTCCTGTCATCCCAATGTCATCAGCAGCCCCCAAAATTGCTCTAATGAATTGTTCCCGAGTCCCAGCTGGCTCAGAGATTCCCAAACCCTCTCAGAGGAGCCCAATCCCACAACCCCCCAGTTCCCAGGGATGGGAGCAGTGCATCCATGAACCTTTAAAAATGCAGGAATTCCATCACACCCCCGGCTGCTGGATCAGTGCCATCTCCAGAGCAGAGCTGGTGGGAGCCCAGACCATCAAAGAATCCCTTAAAACAAAGGGATGGGGAAGGAATCCCAGCCCACAGCAGGGTTTTGCTTTTCCTCCAACGAGTTAACAACTGTTTGGAATCCCAAAAAAATCATGAAGGACCTGGAAAAGTCCTCCCTCCCCCTTTCTCCTTCCCCAGGTTCGGCTGTTTGGGACACTCTAATTCCAAGTATTGTTGGAAACACCTTAAACTGGGGCCTGAAGGGAAACATGAACCTGGGATCTTGTCACCTTTGCTCATGGGATGAGATGGAAAACCAGCTGAGGATGTTGTTGGAAAGGGACCAAGGCAACACTCCACTCCCCCGAGTAACCACCCTGGGCATGGATTTGGTGGGATAACATCCCTGGACACTCCTGGTGGCTATTCCAGCCTCTCCAGGAGGAAAACAGGGCCGGGGGGGGGTGTTTAGTTTGGAGCAGGGATGGTCTGGGGGCCCCTCCATGTGGCTCCTCCTAATCCACAGGGGAAGGAAGGGAGTTATCCCACAGGGAGAGCAGGAGGCGGGAGCAGCAGTTCCAAGGCCCCCGGGTGATGTCCCATCGTTTGGGGTTGGAATCACATCGGGACCCCAGGACCCTTCACCACCTCCCTTGGGCATTTTTAATGCGATTCCCAGTTTTTGAGCTGTTTACAGTCACTCCCTGAATTCTGGTCTCTAGGAATTACTTTTCTTCTCCCCTTTTTTGGTAAACAGACAACCAAAACGTTACTTTTAATCCCAATTCTGGTAAATAAATGCCTGAGATACCCCGGCAAGATCTTTCTGGCGCCAGATTCCAGGATGACATAAGGAAATACATCCCACTCTGGGTCGGAATATCTTAATTACTGTGATTTTCCAGGTGGGAGAAGCTGGATGTGGGAGCCATCCCTTTGATCCCACGAGCTCTTGGAGCTGCTTAAGGGTCTTCCTCCCCTTCTTCCTCCCCCTCTTCCCTGTCCTTGTCCTTGTCCAGC